CACACACACACACACACACACACACACGTGCGCGTGATCCTTGTGTGCGTGTGCTCCTTAACACGCTTGACTCATCTCTCTCTCTCTCTCTCTCGTCTGCCGCCTCTCTTTCCCGTCACCTCTCCTTCCCTCTCTCTCCGCACACGAGTTATGCACGCAATTCGCAATTGCCGCAAATTACGAACGATTGCCTCCAGCGCATCTCTAACGAGGGATCCAAGACAGAGGGACCGCGGTTGCAAAGGGATAAATGCATAAGAGTGACTTTTTGACAGGCGAGAGCACGTTCATCCGCTGCAGATCAAGGGGTTTCGTTGGCCTGGCGGCCGTTCCTAAAAGGAACACGTCTGTTCTATCCCACCCACCTAAAGAAAGGGACTGCCACATACCAGGCTTCGTTCTTCCACTCTCAGGGTGAAAAAAGTTGTGCCTTTACTCACTAAAGGCGATGTAAGTAAGATTGCCTCCTCGGAAATAAGACACACAAGACGGTTTCTCGAAATGAGCGGCCAAGAAGAAGGCGCCACATTGGACACGTCGCGTCTCATCCGTACAATCCAGCTTTTGGACTCCAACTACCCGCGCAATATCTCGCCGCAGACTGCACCGCAGCTAGTGTGCGCCCCTAAAAGCTTAGCTTAGCTTATCCCCCCGCCTCTCTCTTCCAATGTTCCAGCTCTTCACAATGACGAGCCGTCGCGTCCAAACTCGCAATGTCGACAGAGCACGGTGGTGGTTGGCAGACAAAAGCGCTGAGCAGTCCCAACAGAGAACAGTGGTCTGTCAATGCCGTGCAATCTCAGATTGCGCCACGCCACGTCGACAAGACTCGCAATGTCGACAGAGCACGTAGGTTGAAAATGATGCGGATTTAAAAGATCATTAACGTAAATTCCAAGAATATGAATAGACAACCTATTTATTGACTTAAGAACAAAGAGGCTGACAGCTCATTGCCTTATAAGAAAGCCCCACTGCTGATAACCTATATTGGCCACCACAATCATAATGATGGTTCCCCAAAAAACAGACCTTCCACAACAAGACCCCACATTCCGATGCGAGGACGACAGCGGGGCCCTCAGCGAACCCCCGAGGCCATCACATCCCACTTCGGACTCTATCAATTATGACGAAGAAGTAAGCACAGGACAATTATCAATTGCCTTGAGCGTCAGACAACTAGATGATAATAATTCCTTCAATTAGGAAAAAGTTTTGAGCACGGAGAGAGGCGGCACGTGGAGATGGGTACACAGGCGGGAAAACGGAGGGACTTGGCCTCCGCTTCTCCCACTTCCCCAAGATCCCGTGACCGAGACCACAGTAGGGCTTGGCTCATTCATGGGAAGAGAGAAGAGGAGTGAAGGAGTGTGGGCAGAGAAATAATTGCCTTTTCCAAGTTTCTCTCTCTCTCTCTCTCTCTCTCTCTCTCTCTCTCTCTCTCCGCTTCTCTGTTTTCCAAGTATTACAGTTACTCTCTCTCCTCTACGAGAGAGAGTTTCCTGTCGTGATATGTCGAGGGTGAAACTACCAAATTGAGAAACAAACAAAACAAGGCGGCGAGTGGTTGAGGGAAGACAAAAAAAAAGAGACGGACGAGTCGAATAGAGAAAAGCATGGAAGGTGAACAAGGACAGGAACAAGGACAATTTCCAAGCGACGAAGGGAACGACAGCTGGAGCAGGAGGAGAGACAAGCGCGAAGAGCCGCCGTGCAACGGGCAGGGAAAGTGTAGAGATGATAACGAGGGTGAAAACGCGTGGAAGAGGAAGAAAGAAGAATGAAGAAGAACGGAGAAGGAAATTCACTGTACTGTCCTTGTTGACCTTAACGCGTGGAAGAGGAAGCAACGAGAAGGAAATTCACTGTACGTTCCTAATAAGGAGGAGAGGAGGAAAGGATGATGAGCAAGATAGGACAACCCGTCGTCGAAGGAGAGTTTGTGAACAGACCAACAGAAAGTGTAAGGATACCAGATGGCATGGCATGGTATGGATACGGAGGAGGACCACAGAGGTGCCGACACAGAACTCTGAGTGACAGATGGGAGGCCACAAATAGGGCGAAGCCACCATGAACAGACGAATATCGAAAAAGAAAAAATTGCGACCAGGGTCAATAATGCAGAGCAGTTAGGAAGTGCAGTTCAGTCACAGAAACAGAGAGAAAACAGAGGGAGGGAGGAAGGGAGAGAGAGGGGGAGGGAGGGGGAGAGAGAGGGAAAGAGAGGGGAAGATGAGTGTACAAGGGTGGTGATTGGCAAGAAAGCATACAGAGGACAAGAGAGCGACGGCGGGACAGGAAACCACTGAACACGTCGCAAGGACAAAGTGCGGACGATGACGATGTCAGAGTGTGGGGAGAGGGAGAGGGTAATAAAGAGGGAAGATTAAAAAAATGAATTTGTGATCAATCAAAAGAAGAAGATGAGAAGAGAGACGGCGTATACTTTTCAGACGAACGAAGCGCGCAACTAGAATGACAAAGGGGGAAGAAGGCGGAGAGCACACGGGGAAGAAGGCGGAGAGTAGGAACTACAGCATATACAACAAGCAAGCAAAGAGGGGGGGGGGGGGGGGGGGAAGAGGGGTGATGTGAGAAGGAGGAGAGGAAGGACAGGAAGAAGAGGAAGGAGAGGAAGGAGAGGAGTAACATGCCTGCGGGGCATCGATGAGCAATGGAGATTCGAGCATGACCGACGGATTGACACCTGGCGCCAGGTGCGTCAGCAACGTGCCCGGACAGTGATTCCTGTAGCGAGCCTTCATCAAAGGTTGCTTGGTTGGGGAGCCGGGACGGGGACTGCTTCCAACTGCCCCGACCCCGACAACCATATTGCCCCGATCGTGGTGGAGAAAGGAGGCTCCCATTCCAGCAGAAGATACTGAGGTCGACATGGCGGCCTTCCCGAGCATATGATTGGCGTCTGCGTCACTGCTTTTGCCGCCACCAGAGCCACCTGAGTTCCCCCCACACAGTCCGCCGAAGGAGTTGTTGCGAGAGAGAAACGGGGAAGAGGATTTGTTGTCAGAGTCCAATTTGTCGCCGAAGAAGTGCTTAGTCGAGGACGATTTCAGAGCGGTTGAATCTTCCGTCTTCACTGTCAAGTCCCCCTCCCCCCCGCCAATTGCCTCCCCCCCGCTGCCGTTGGAAGTGGTGTTAGTCGCGGTCGAAGTGCTGGAGGGAGGAAAGGAAAAGCAGAAAGAATTGCTTTTGGATACGGTTGCTGTAGAATGACCCAAGGTCGAGAAGTCCGTCGATAACCCACCTCTCTGAGGAGTTGGTTTCATAACCTTGGACTCCTGCTGTGCCGGCGGAAGGGGCGGCGCCGCGGCACCTCCATCTCGAACCCCGCTGTCCATCTAACACCTGTACTCGTTCTTCTCNCCCCCCCCCCCCCCCTCTCTCTCTCTCTCTCTCTCTCTCTCCCCACTACTCTACTTACACACACACACCGTCCTGAAAACCCTTCCCTCTCAACAAAACGTACTTATGTCTCTCTGTCTCATTCCACGTAATCTCTCTCACTGTTTTCTTCAAAACAGAAACTCAAAGTCCAACAAGAAACTCAAAGTCCAACAAGAAACTCAAAGTCCAACAATCTCCCCTTCCCCCTCCCTCAATCTCCTGCCTTGGATAAACTGAACATGGTGCCGAGGGAAACAGACCTCCGAAAGCCTATCAAGCCTCCACCCCTTGCTCCCCAATTTGCCCCTCTGCAGACCAAACTGGGGTCCTTGCCGCAGGCAACGGGATTGCCCACAGCAGCTCTCCGCGACGAGCGGGAGCGGGAGCGGGAGGGGGAGGGGGAGGGGGAGAGGGAGGGGGAGCACGCAAGCGCACCCGTCCGCGACCTCGTGTACGAATGGGCGAGGCGTGCTCGCTCCGGAGAGAGCAGGCGAGCTCGCGTGCCAGCATCCCAGGGCTTGCGCGCGCGCGCGCGCACGCAGTCATGCGCTTTCCGTACGGGCGGAGAGACGAACGCAGTAAACAAAATGAACGAGACGGGTGCTACGACGAGGCCGTGGAAAAAACAGCAGCAGGTGGTACGACTCCCCTCACACGGGCAATAGGAGGAGTAGAGTCGTAGTAGTGGTGGTAGTACTACGTACTACTACTACGGTGGTCAAAAAGGGTTTCTAGCGCTGGAACTCGACCTCTCCCGCCCGCCCGCTACGACTACTCCCCTACGCCGTGACACGACGGCACGGCTTTACGTCAGATGCATGCACATCTCCGCAGACATACTTAGGTGATGACAAAACGGCAGACAAGTCAACGTCACAAGCTCTCGTCCTTATCTGTTTTGCAGCTACATCGAGGGCTGCAGCTTGCGACCGACTTCCGCCAGCAACGCTACCCTCCAGGCTATGGCCCTTCTCCATCTTCACTCCACCTCCCATCCTCACCCTCCCGACAAGGTCCCCCGCCTCTCGCCTCCCCCTTTCTCCCTCCCGCTCATCCCCATCGACCTCACTCTCCCTACTCCTCCCTCCCTCCCTCCCTCCCTCCTTCCGACGGTAGCTTACAACCACTCCTTTTCCCCCTCCGACCCCGTCTCCCTCCCGCCGACCGACCTACCCCCGTAAGGCCCAACTCAGTCCGCCCCTCCGCTCTCTCTTCTTGTCGTCGTCCGCAGCTCAGACCCTTCGTGCGAGCGCTTTTTCCCCGCCTGTCCCGCCCGTCCGGTCGCCCGCTCAGCTGGTCTCCGACGACGAACCAGAGCGTCTACCAACAGGGCTCACGAACGCCGACCGAAGCCGACCGACGGTGGGCAACTCGCGTGGTGGACTACTGTTACCGGTAGACCGGGGCGCGTGGGCGCTTGCAGGCGGCGGGCGGGACTGGGGGTTAGCGGAAGACGACCGCTTCCGCTTCACGAGCGTGGCAGTTAACTTCGTGGTAAACGACCAACGTTTTTTCCTTTTTTTCCGCCAAAAATTTGCACCTTTCATTATTTGTATGAACCGAGGCCGAAGGCCTCACAACATTCTCGCGCCAGCCGACCTGACCTACCGACTTCACCTGAATCGCGTATGTATAATGTTCGAAAACTCTCGTCTATTCTGTTCTAATTCTAAATGTTGTAAATGCTGTAGCTCAGTCTGCGAGTTTGGTCACTCATCGTCGTTGCCCAGAGCTCAAGACCCCACACCGCATCGTCCCCGGCCTTTCGGTCACAGGTCTACCAGGCTGAACCAGGGTTCGCTTCAATTGAAGACTCGACTTGGGGTCTGCTACGACTGCAATGGCGGTCCTCCACCGCGCGATAGCATCGAAATCGAAAAATCGAATTACACTCCATTACGGCCGTAGGTTGCTAGGATCTTTTAGAATTAGAATGACCGTACACCTCCTCAGGTTGGGAGCAGCTGCCGCTCGGGCGGAAATGACAGAAAATCAATATACGATTATACGATACGTCAAATATTCTTCTGTCTGTGAACTGGACAATTGGGGGGCTGAAAGGCCTCGCCGCATTGCTCACCAAATGTACAAAATCAGAAGGAACAATCCCCTAGAACATGGAAAGCTGCACACCACCATCATTTGGACTTGTGCATTTCGTGAGTAGTGCGGCGAGGCCCTAAGTAATTAGGGCCTCGCTCCACTACTCACGAAATGTGCAACATGACAACGAATCTTCCACTAGAACACGGAAAGACACAGCCATATCTTTTGTCGTTTGAGCATATGGTGAGTAGCGGAGCGAGGCCCAATGTGGATTGGACGTTTTCCACGCCGTCCGAGATATAGGCAGAGGGAAGTTGAAGAGGTCCTGGCCCGCCAACCGCGTCTCATTTCCCCCCAGCAAGCCCCCACGTCCCGGGTCTACCTGTGATTGACTTAGGGTCAGATCCCACTACCCTCGATTATTCATTTTTCACCCTCGATTACGAAGATCAACGGTCAGCAATGAACAATAGGGTCTAGTGGGATCTGGCCCTTGCCACCTGTAACTTGCCACCTTACAGGTACAGAGCCCTAAGGCATGGAGAGTGGACAGGAGGACACGAGGGTTGGGGGACATGAGGATCGAAAACCTAGGCCAATAGCCCAAAAAAGAGTGGGGAAAACACACACGGGAAAATCCTGTAGGGTCTGATTGTTGAAAGCCTGTAGGGGGTACAGGGGATGCACACCCAAGGCAGGTTTTTTCATCGTTGTTGAGTCTATCGGTCGTCCGTAGACCCACAACAGTGGCTGTGAGGGTTGGCATTTTTCAGGAGGGCTTTAGAGGGGGGAGGTGAGTAGGAGTTCGGAAGAGGATCCGTAGAAAGGCTTTGTTGAAAATTCCACCCACTCCTGCAAAAACATGAAGGGGTGTGTGCGGCCCACGAAAGGGTGCATCCCAGGCCCACACACCTCGACCAAGCTGGCCTCTCTCCTGCACTTCAGCCTTGTTCTAAATCTGGTGAGAATGAATCTGGACAATTGATTCAGAACAAACAGTTCAACTTGCAAAAGTGCACGGCACACTCAGCTCCTCTCTCTCTCTCTCTCTCTCTCTCTCTCTCTCTCTCTCTCTCTCTCTCTCTCTCTCTCTCTCTCTCTCTCT